CGGATATGGCCATGAGCTGCTTGGATAAGGATATAGTCCACCAGCGTGTAGTCGACGTCGTGTTGGGCGGAATCTGGTGCTGGATTTTTGCGGGGAATTCCCTGTAACCAAACGCTTCCTGACCAATCGCTTCCTGATTTGGGTCCTCAGGCTTGACCCAGATGCGCTCTGCGGAGAAGACGGCTGCCAGCAACTTTGACAAGGCACGGTCGACAGATGCGCAGGTTTGTCGAACTGGCTGGTCAGTTCGGGCGTGAGCTGATCCTTGGCCGTGGGTCAAACACCCCAAACATCTGGCATGTTGAGGTGGATATTCGGTTGGGATTCACATGGGAGAAAGTGACTGATTCGAGTGACCAGCAATAATGTTGGCTAGTTTTCATGTGACAAAACTTAGTGTGACAAAGGATCTCCTCCACCAGAAGCCAGCAAACTTATGTAAAAATTGGGATTGGGAGACCGGTTATCTGACTGGAGGGGACATCTCACTGCTGAGGGAAATGTCATGGTTTTGGGCCAGACAAAACGTCAGAACATTTCTCAAGCAACGCACCAAATTGATCTCGTTGGGTAAATAAATCCAGATGTCACATTGTATGTAACGTACATATGATACTAGTTTAGAACATATACTATATGCATACTATATATATATATCTATATATATATATTATGTACGAACGTACATCTATGTAACGCACAGACATATATATACATATACTGATCTATCTACCCAACAATTGATGGCAATGATCTACCCAACAATTGATGTTGGTCCTTCTCATCCATCACAGCTTTTTCTGATGTATGGCCCTCCGAATGTGCTTGAGACGAGACAACTGGACTCCAATGGTTCAGGGAGGGGAGATGAGCTCAGCAAGACTTGTAGGGATGTTTGTGCCCTTCTGTGGGTCCTGTAGATGGGTCCTAACATGTCTTAACTCTCTAGGCCTCTGCAAGCAATCTTGCAAGTATATATATATATAGGTACTGTAATATTAATCAATTTGATGTAATGATGGGGCACAGCTGTGTTGGTTGGTTGCGTCACGCGACGCACTCAACTGGAAGGCAAATGTGTGTCTCCCCAACTATATATAAATGGCTGTTGAGATTGTGACGTGCGTTGGACATAGTTGTAAATTGATCCTCATTCACCAACACATTTACTTAAGAAACACATGACTTCTCTAGCAGGCGTGTGTGTGTGTTACTTCCAAAAAAGGTCGGTCTTACCTTCCAACTGGTACGGTAACACCCATGTTCTTCCAAGAGTATCTGAATGTTACATCTGTTTTGGGTCTCCAATGAAATGCGATCAAATGAGAGCAACCAGTGGAGGGCTAGGATGATCCACCATGTCCAGGATATGCAAGACATGAAGCTGGAAAAGGTCCAGAAGGCACGCGTTCGTTCACACGGGCTCCAAACGGGACGACGCGTTGGCACCCAAGTGGCCCCCAGCGGGTGGAAGACATCCCATGTTCATTGATGGTATCTCAATGAGTTTCAGCGGATGGATGAGTACAGGATACAGATCTTTGATGTCCTATATATACCACGACCCGACTTCACAGGTCACCACCTGCGACTTTTAAGTCTACAAAAGCCTCCATGTCGGAGACATGTTGGTTTCGGTGCTGGTATAGATTGGATTGTATAAAAGGTGGCTCTCTACATGAAGGCAGGCACGATCTTAGATCGATTCACCAAAGATGGACACTCCTACTGTACAGGCAAAGGAGTGTTTGTTTCTTGTTTAAAAATACAAGCATGTTTTTGTTTTTTTTGTAACCGCATGTGCAGGATTAATACAGGATGGACGATCACAGGACTTGATGTTTTTGACGATCCCTTACACTGACACGGGAAACAGATTTTGGTTCTGAAATCAGTGGATGTATTTATTTGATGGGGAGTCCCATAGAATCAATTGTGTGGCTTCAACGGCACCAACCCGGTGTGAACAGATCGAGTTCTTATCCAAAGCAGCCCGAAGGTGCCTAAGTTGAATTCATTGAAATTCACTAGGACTCTAGGGGTTGATCTCATAGATAATATATAAATTGTAACAGTCAGGTTTTTGAACAAGCCCTTTACTAATCATCATCATCCACTGTTACTGGTAATAGGATAGACCCAACCTATAGACGTCTCCTGCCCACATCACTTTGTTTCGAGCTACATCCACGTGATTTGCAGGAGAAGGACATCAGCTTCAAGACCAGCGAGGCAGAGCCTGTTTCACCGCCGTTGGTGAAACATCAATGAACGATTCGCTAACAGGGAACTCAAAAACGTCCAATACTTCCAGCTTTGTGTTCTTAGAAGCAGAAAGCTTGGCACTTCGTGCGTTTCACGACATAGACTATTGTAGAGTCACAAGGTCACAAGGGGCACAAGACTCCACTGTAGATGTAAAAGTTGAATAACATTTGATGTGTAATGACTTGGTGTTTCCATATGTTGCTACCGAAACCGCGCAAGGCCATGCGCTTGGACGGTGAGCTGGCCGAGCTGAGCAATGACCAGGAAAGCCATCAGACCGAGATGTCCGCCTTGCAGGCGGGCCGGTGGAGCTCGTGGAGCTCGGACGACCTTTGCTACCCGCGTGGTGACTCGAAAAACATCCAACAGTCATCATCCCGACCTCCAAGCAAAAAGACTAAGAAGAGGTTGCGAGGGTTTCAAGTACCTTCTTAGAAGGTACTTGGACCCTCCAAAGCTACATAACAGTGTCTCCCTGCTCACCTTCTGAGAGGGTACGACTGGATCCCTAGGGCATGGCATGAGCAACTCCTTGCGTCCATCAACTTCCCGTTGACTCGATACTTCACGTGCCGTCGAACCCGCCGGGGCCGAGTTCAAGTGGTAGGGTCGGTACCGTGCCGACAGTCGGATGGCGCTATGGCTCACCTGAGAGAGTCGGATCAAAACCTCACCAAACCATGGGAGGTTGACAATTCCTTGTTGGAATCTGTGAACGCCCATGTCACCGTATGTGGTTGCCAAGTGTGCCAGTTAGTGCCATGACCCACAGGTTTTTGGAGGGCCAAACCCCACCCAAGAAGGTTTGGTTGATGTATAATGGTCGGCTTTGCCGCTAGTTCGTCCAGGGCTCACCCCTTTCGCTTTCGGAAGGTCAGCTGAATGCATGGCCAACGCCCATGTCACCGTCAGGATTTCATTAAGGGCTTGGAAGCGGAGTGCTTGGTGACCCCTGAGTCCTTTGCTGAGAAGCAAGCCAAGAAACAGCAGGCAGGGGTGCAGGATGGCGCAGGGTTGGGAGGTGCACGAGGAGTAGGGGAACGAGGAGTGATGGCTTTGGTGCGTGCCATCCAAACAACCTCCAAGTCATTACTTGCTCCACTTAATGTACTCTGCTCGATTACAACCCCCCATATTAAGATATGAGAGCTTTTAGGTACACTCCAAATGGCCCGCTTCATTCATCAGTCTACCGGTTGACGCATCAGACATCCGCTGTTTGGCCGGTCCTTCACACCCACCGAGCCCCGCGGCCGAGCGATCAGGAGATCGATGGGCTGAAGGATGCGCTCGAAGCACTGCAGGTGGGGGGGTCAGACCCCAAACCGAACCCGGTTGAAACGCCTGGGGGGTCGCCTGGGAGGTCCCCCTGGCTCCCTATCCTATTTTAAGGCACAAAAGCCTGTATACCTGTAACCTTAGTGCTTACTATTGTTTGGGTTGGTAGTTCAGCTGTAACTGACCTTTCTCTAGGTCTGTGAACGACATCCGCTGAAAAAGCACGTTCGGGTAAAGCACCCGTGACTCACCAATAAGCGCCCATAGCTTATTGTGTATAAACACTCGTGGAACATCAGAAAAAAGTGAGAAAACTCAAGTGACTCCAGTACAGGGCAATGACTCCAAAAGATTGCGTTCACGCCGAAAACACTGAGGCGTATTTGCATATATATATATAATATACAGATACGCACACAATCGCACACATGTATACCAACAGTTCCAATGGAATGTTTTTTGTATAGTCGTTTAGTGAGTGGATAATTGGCACCCTTGATGCCCTCCAATGGGCACCCCGACATAGATCTCCTGGCATACATATATATTATACATCATAGTCCCTGTATGGGGGGTTAATTTGGTGGTATTGTCCAGAAAAAATAGACAACAAACACAACATGTTGGAGGGCTAGATACAACTGGTGATGGGTTCCTTTGATGGCACTGGCACACAATGGATCACCTGTGATGCAGATCTACATTTTTTGGGTACATCATATGTGGATGTTTGGGTTCAAGGGTATATAAGAGGCCGTATCAGGCACAACCAAAACATATGTTTACCCTCCCAGAGCCCCTCAATGTAGATTGGGTGGACCTACTCTCCCCCAAGCCAAAAGTGCATGGATGTTTGTATAGTGAAGCTTGGGCATTTCATTGTGGGGGTTGTAATCCAACAATCCGAGGTTTGTTTCGGGTGCCTCCTCATCCCGGTGCCCTCCGCCCAGGAGACACCGGCAGCACTCATTCAGCGTCGCAGTCGGGCCCTCCGTGGCCAGAAGAGCCTCACAACGGAGTGAAGGTGAAAAGGCCATCTTGGCCAAGTGACGTCCAGATGTGGGCTTGAAAAAACCAGACCCGGCTGGGCGGAGAAAAAGGTTGCCTTTCGTTGTAGTAGGAGGTTCGCAACCAGATCCAGCCTTGGTTGAAAGAAGCTCCCAAGCTTGGACTTTTAGAAGAGTTGGCTTGTTGGACGGTGAACCACCAGGGCTTTACGAGTGGAGTTGTACTTTCACAGGATCTCCTTCACTCTAACAGCGACTATGACTACTATAAATTTGCTTTGCAGGCCAAAAAACGCACCGCACCTCTCTCATTCACCATCACCCAGTCCAAAGTGTTTCACAATACCCAACTCTCTTCACTCCCTTCCAACCGAACCACCTCGCTGTTTCCCGTACTCTTCACTCTTCGTTCCACTCATTTCCACCGACCGGTCGCGCCATCGCCAGGTACCTCTTTCGCTTCGACTTCGTGCAAGTGAGCGATCAGGCGGACCTGTTTGGACGGAGTGAGAAAACCAAAGTGGTGTTTTTGTAGATGAAGGAATCACCAACAGAAGGAGTGATGTATAGATTTGTTGCTTTTATGTTGTTCGGGTTGATCATTCCGGCATCAGGTTTGTGGAGTTGTGTGAGGCGGAACACCAGTGGTGTCAACTTGGAGAACGTGGTGTCAAGATTGTCCAGTGCCGCACTTCCGCCGTGTGGGGAGTTTTTTTTCTTTTTTTTGCAGAAGGGTGCTATCTCTACCAACACCCGCTCTCTTTGTTTAATGGATTTGAAGCCATGCACCGGGATAGCTGGCAAATCCTTAAGGAGCACATGTGTGTGCTTTACGTGGTTTTGTGCATTGAATCCGCCCAAAAACGTGCTGTGTTTGCCTCGATCATGTTTTCGACACGTTGTCGGCCCCCGAACTAGCAACCTGTCAGGTCCACCAATGCCCTTGTTGTTGCGGGTGTTGTGCCTGTTTAGTCCACGAATTGGTGACGAGAGTTCCCACCATTTCGTGGCCTGTCCCCTGTTTTTGCACCCATGAGACTTCCGACTGACCTATACTGAAAAGGAACGGTGAGTGTGGGAGCTGCAGTAGGCAGCTGGAGCACGACTAAAGGACACAGTGAGTGTGAGACGAAAGATCTGGTTAAAGGTTACATTCAACAAAGCATTAAATGGCCGGTGAAAAATCCTTTTGGGGGCATATCATATCCCACCCCACCAGTCCAAATTAGATGTTATAGGGAATTGAGGAGGCCTACTCAGAACCTCCATGGAATCTTGTTCACCTAGAGCGTGTATATATATACTTATAGTCATGCCTAGACTATATAGAGACTGATATCTTTTGGAACGTTCACATCCCAACAAGCCACCAACAACGACACGCTCAACACCGCTTCGGTCGAGGAACATGTCTCACCTGACATCAGAATCTTCTCCACCTGACAAATCCTTAAGGATCGAACCGAGGGACGATCATCCTGCACCCTTGGGTGAAAATAGATCGACACATATAGACATAGAGACACCCCTAATGATGTTTGTTTCATCCAATCACCCATCCGATGACCATCCCCTGACCTGCGCCAAGTTCTGAACTTTTGGGGCTCGGTGACCAGTCGACCAGTCGACCCGAGATGTTGGGGGTCTTCCTGAAGAACGACCTCCCCCCGAGTCCGAAAGCGATGGCTGACCTCTGTCGACCTAGGCGACATCCACATGACTCGGCACCTTTGGCTTTGACCGAATCCACGCCAGGACACGGCAGCCTGGTTAGGCATCCTGTGGACCAAGAACTTGGTCGGCACCGAGGTGGTGGGGTTGAGCACGGAGCGGCGATCCCGCACCGGGGTGTCCGAGAGTCCGTAGAGCAGTCCAACCAGGCGCCAGGATGGTCCTGGTACGTGATCTATACGTTTTTGCCTTCACCCTTTTGAAACGGACCGTGAAAGATGGATCACACCCCTCAAAGGCAGCACCGTATGGACCTCCCGCAACGGAGATTGCCCTGTGTTTTTGTTTTTGGGTGGAGGTGTCAGACATGTTTGTTTTCAAGGCTTACTTGAGATGATTGAACCCACTGACTGCCACTGACTCATATTTGCTCAAACAAGTTGAACGATGTTGAAACCGTTCCTCGCCGCTTTTTTGTGGTTCAGACTGGGCAAAAAGACTGGCGCCTTTCTTTGCGAATTGTGTTCTTCGGACTTCCCAGACTTGCTGGAGACGGAAAGAGCGCAGACCGTGTTTAAAACCCTGAGTTTCTTTGGGGTTGGCCGTTAAGCTGTGGGCTGTGGGTTCCAACCGGCCAAGCTGTTGGAACCCGAATGAAGTTCTTTTTGTTGGTGCTGGTGCTTCATCGGTGAAGGAGAGGAAATGGACAGATGGACGGATTGTGACCCCAGTAGGATCGGATTTACCCTTCAGGAAATGTTCTGAAGACTTCACAATCTAATGATGTCCTATTGTAATTGACAAGAAGAACCACAATTTTCCCTCGCACCAATCAAGAGACATGGGTACTCCTTGCAACAAACAAGAAAGACCTTGGAGTCCACCTCGACATGTCCAAAGCAAACTCATCTCCCTGGATGTTCGACCTTCCTTGATATCACACGCTGCTCAGGTCACAGGGGCTCCAAAAGCTTTAAAGGGTCACTTTGAAGGAGCTCCCTGGATGCTACCCAATGCCACCCCAGTCCGGGTCCTCACTCTGAACAGGTGGCCCTTGCGGGATTGGGCATCGCTCAGCATGCAGCTTGGCGATCGGACGGCTGGATGGTCCTCTCTACGTCCTCTGGTTAGGTCCGATCCTTTTTTTCCCACGGCGACGGTTCGGTACGTGGCTGGGTCTCGGGAGACCGGAGGTCTCACGCCGTTCTTCGGTTCGCTGCGGAACAGAGGACCAAAACATACCAAAAGCCAGGCCAAGGGGGTCTCCCAAAGCCAGGCCAGGGGGGTCTCCCAAAAGCCAGGCCAAAAGGTCTCCCGTTGCCATGTGTGTTGCCATAATGCCAGGATGTCGCGCCATGATACCGTGGCGAGGCCATTCAGCGTGTGGCTGCCCGGTGCGAGGCGCTAGTGAAGCACGAAGCCAACAAGGAGAAATTGGGCACCAGAGTGCAGTTCTGACAGTCCACTGTTTAAAGGAGGATGATATGAAGATACAAGGCAAAGACATGCAAAGACACCAACGCAATATGAAGATAGAACACGCGACAAGGATAACAAGTTCTCATCTCACAGGTTTGGGGGTTGTTGTGCCGAGAAAGTTAAGCACGATCAGAGATTGGTTGGTGGTTTTTAACGGTCACTCCTTACCTGAGGCCAGTCTTGTTCAGATGGATTAAAGCCAGCAGTTCTCTTTGGAGGTCAAATGATTTGCCTTGTGAACCATTCACAGGTGGCCCGCTAACAAACACCTTGGAAGCACCTATACCAGCTGAAGGTTCCAGATCCTTTCATGTTCGGTGTGACTCCAAAATAGGAACCCCAGATACCCATACCCCAAGCCATGAGAGATAGATAGATAGATAGATAGATAGCAAGAGCAATATCGAGAGAGAGAGAGAGAGACAGAGAGCGTGCAAGCGCGAGCAGGTGGACTTCCCCAAGCTTTGAGTCATGTACACTCCCTGAAAGTTGCAAGTCTTTGCAAGTGGAAGATAATGGAACATAGGCCCATCTCGGTCCTTGGAAGGCCATGTGTCATTATATTCACAACTTCATTCATTATCCATGTGCATGTTCAGCAAGTCTTAGTTGTCTGAACTTCTCTCGTTGAAGATCGGCCCTGCCCTCCCGGTCATCCCAACTCGTGAAGCAACACCTCTGTGCGGCGGTGCAGAAGTTCTCTCTCAAGAACGCCTGTCTAAAAAAGAAGAGCCAAGGGCCCAGATGTTTCCCCCTGTCCAAAGCACCGAAGACAGAACAAAGCCTTAAGCACAATGGATAGCTCGGTGCTTTGAGCAGTCATCAAGTTATCGAAACTCATAGACTTTGTGGCGTTCAACCCGGACCATGCTCCCAGACCTGACCATACGCATGCGCCTTTCGATCTTGTTCAGGAGCTGGTGGGTCACAGTGCCTTATTGGGAGCTTCGTAGGGGAGTCCCAGAGGAATGGGCTGGCACAATGGCCCCCCTGCCCAATCAGAAGTCCCTGCAACCTGGTGGAGTAGTGGTGCTTTTGGAGTCCAACATTTGTTGCAAGCTACGAGATTGATAGGTGATAGGAGAATACTAAGTATGTATGAGGGCTTTGGCTCACACCAGCCAACGTGAACACGTTTTCCGTTGGCTTCACAGACCCCAGAAACCAGATTTTGGTTTCACCGAGGGTGCAACGAACACAGAGACATCTAGAAATCGAATCATCAAAAAATGACCACGAAACTACCTCTCCACCCAACCATGCTAGATTCCTGGCTTTGCCATTGCGTGCGATGCTTTCTACACCTTCGGAGGTTTGCCAGACCGACCCAAGCATCACCCGGTCGGGAGGTCTCTCCCGGCTCAAAGGGTAGTTGCCAGACCGTCAAGAGAGGCACCTGAAGATATATATATATATATGAATTCAAAAGGTACTTCAAAGGTAGATGGCTTAATATGTATTGATTTTGCAAAAGAATATGTCAATATTAAGATACATGAAGGATCATGAAGGGGTGTGAACATCCGGGAGGGAGGCTTTGTTCATCAACAGTCTCAGAGTCTACTTCTATGTCAGAAAGGGCTCACACAATTGTTGGATATCGTTGGCATACCTTGTTATATTTTTGCACCTGTAAATTTAGCATGGAGGTGCATGTGTGTGTGTGTGTGTCATCCTTCGCTCCTAAACCCTGAGTGAAAACGCATGGAAGGAACTTGCATGTCATGTGAATCTTCCCATACCACCATCCTCTGAGTAGAAGAGATCCAGGTTGGGTTGAAGGACCCAGAACTTTGTACCCATATCTACAGGTTGGGTCTTGAGAAAAGGAGGGAGGGTGAATCCCAAATCCATGAAAAGAGGGGCGACACTTCGCAGGCGCTCAGGTACGCCGCCTTTGCGACGCTCCCCCAAACTCCATGAAGAAGATCTCAAGTGAAAGGAGCACAGTTTCCAGGAAGAACCTGTACACATCTGTACACCATCTCCATGAAGTCTGTACAGCAACCAAGGTCAGTGGCTTTTGACAGCACCCAAACCTTTTCAAGGTCAGCGTGGTTTGCGAATTTTGGGGCTCAAGGGAGAGCGTTGCACATAATTGAGTGTCAACGCTGCCCCGGAAGGTCCGAGAACATCGGTTCCAGATGCGCATTCTGACATGATGAAAAGAGTGTATACGACTGCACCATGGAAGCTGGCCATCAATGGAAGTTTGTTACATATAATGTTATCTAGGTGATGGTTTGCTCCCTTTGACTACTGCAATATGTTTTCAAGTGGATTGAAAACACCAACCAGTTATACAATGTTATACATCGTATGTGTGTTTCCTGTTTTAAAGGCTGTCTCCAGGATTTTGGACTGGCTCAGCCATGGAGTGAACATGAGCCTGGGTCGAAGCGGGATTTGTCAGGACCAGAGTTGCACCAGACGTTGCTACCCACCTGAAACTCTTCGGACGAAGAACCACGGGTTCGGCCTTCACCACAGATCATGATGACTTATGATGATTTACTTGGAAGAGGTTCTTTGAGCTAAACCGTATGCATTTGATTCGTACACATGTATGCTCAGTTGTCTAACGGTTCCATGTGTACAATGCTTTTTGTTGTGATCTCGAGATATTCCAGCTGCTTACTTGCCAGAAGAGGTTTGAATCATAGTTTCAGGCTAAGGACAGGTTACTACCCAAAAAATAACTTCCAAGGTGTCCATATCCAATAATTAGTTTTCAATAGATTTCAGGCGGTATCCTACCATGAAAGACATGTTGGCCATTCATCAACTTATTCCAACAGGCATGTTGCATTGGATTCCCAGTTGTTTGTATTGGCAAATGCGATCCACGTGGAGATTGTTAAAATCCCAGCACCATGACAGAAACAAACGTGTCACCACGTCATCCACCTCACATTAGAACCTGCATGTTTGGTGTCACGTACGTCTCACGACGGTGAAGAAGGCATCTGCCAGGCACTCGATAGACGTTCGGTGAACCGATAGACTGATAGACTAGAGACTATAGAGACGCCTTGGATGCTGAAGTGGATGGGATATCAATCTCATTGCACATCGTGTGAATGATTTGAACCACCGAATTGGCCAGCTGTTTCTCGTCGTGTCTCCAGAGGCCAAGAGTTTTGAACCACTATGGTGGCTTCAAGCTCAAGAAAGCCTGTTAAATAATCATGGACATGTTGATAGAAACCAGAGCTAGAGGCTATAGTAGGCTTGTTCGTATCCACCAACAAAGACAGAAACTGGTAGAACGCTCCCCGCAAAGGAACATCCATCTCTCATTGGGACGTATTTTTCCGAAAATCATCTCGGCTTTCCGCGCGTCGTGGATCTGAGGATCAAGCTCCGCCCATTGATGGAAGTGCCACAGGTGGTGCATCGCTCAAAGAGCTGGGGCACTCAGGATTTGCAGATTCCCCGCCTCGCAACAAGGTGAACCTGGTGGTGAACCTGGTGAACCCACCAAAACCCTGAGCGACGCTGCGATCGATGGATGGAATCCCATTGCCAACGGGTCCATGTTGGATCCAATATGATAGAATGAATTAATTTGAATTAATTGCAAATGGGTCCAATCCCAGCGCACCCAGTGGAGAGCCAGATCCA